TATACAATTCTGTACGTGCACGCATAATATTTTAATGATTAAGTAGATGAAACTCACGTGTAAGATTTACACGTGAACACGTATATATATATATACAGGGTGTCCCAGAATTGGTGTAACATCTCTCGTAGACAGGTAGAAGAAATAAAACTGAGTCGATAAGTCCTATAACATTTTGCTAGATTCGCAATAGTTACCGAAATCTTAATTAACAAAGATCCGCGAATAAGCGTGCATCGGGCTGTCTTACGCGCGGACAGCCCGGCGCTTCGCACAATTACATTTTAATATGTATATGTTATAGTATATGCTGTTATATTAGTTCCTCCCATATGATCCTACAGGTAACACCGTAAGCGCGCGAAGCGCACTGGGCTGTCTTAAGCGAGTAAGACAGCCCGATGCATGCTTATTCGCTGATCTTTGTTAATTAAGATCTCGGTAACTATTGCGAATCTAGCAAAATTGTATAAAACTTTTTGACTCAGTTTTACTCCTTCTATTTGTTCACAAGAGATATTACACTAATTCTGGGACACCTTGTATATACATATATATATATACATGCGTATTTCCGCACAACATCCAGCGAATAGCTCTCATAACCGTTTATACATTTTTTAGTTTATATAAAAAGTAGTTTTCTATAATGGTTATATAAAGTTTTATCACAAAAAAATCTCTAATTTGCCGAATTAAATCTACACAAAATATTTGTTATCATGTGTGTGTGTGTGTGTGTATGTGTAATATGTATATATAACAATAAATATTTGAATAACACATATATATATGTAACTTTTAGTAAAATTATGTGAAAATTCCACACACGTCTAAAAATAAGTTTAAACATCGTTTGTAAATTTCTGCAAATTTGCTCACGCTTTTAAAAACACATTTTCCCAGCACAAAGATAGATTATTCTAACCGAAAAACCGATTTCATATATTTCATATTGATTTTATATTACATTTATTATTTCCTATTATATTTACTTGAAAACATAACGCGAGAACACTGCAGCATCATATATCAGAATTTAGCAAGAGAAGTACACACACAAGCATATCTGTATAGAAAATTATAGAGAATATAACGTTGTGATAATACAGAATGTATATTGTCCGCAGTTTTGCTTTGACGATCGATAAACTTAATTGCATTATATTAACAATGTGTTGTCGCTTCTCTACTGACCATCTCATTAGACTCCATTTATTACTGCCATATGTCTATCGTGAATTGTGGCTCGTCTGAAACTCTGTTGTACGATAAATTATAACATCTATCGCGAGAGGTGGAGATTACTGCTTATAACGTACGTCAATTATTTATTTACGAAGCAACACAAAATATTTTTTTTCTTATGTTTGCTGTATGGGGATACTGCAAATCCTTCATTGCGAAATTAGCATTAAAAAATTTTACTTTCAATAGCTCTTTAATTGCGGTACATATTTCTCATACACATATGTGTTTCTTTTTCAATTACGACGCTAGACGGAAAATATCATTCGCTTTGAAAGAAAGCTTTAGGAAGAGAGAAATACAGCGCAGAATAAAATTCGCAATGGAGTGTTTTTTAAGAAATATAATGAGTCATCACTATCAAACATGACGTAAAGCTGAAAAAAGTGGCAACATATTATAAAAGTAATTGTTTTTCTGCTATTTTATACTAGAAGAGACGCATAGAATGTAATAAAAGTCACTTTATGCTTGGCTAAAAATTCCGGTGTAAGACAATGCAGTCGACCGTTACATGAATAATAAACTGTTCAGAAAAATCTTATTTTATTGCTTTTACTTGTAAAATATCAGATTAGATAGAGCAACGCTACTTCAGTAAATTTAAAAGGGCTAGATTTAAATAATAGGATGTATATATATAGAATATAAAATTGTTTTCGATTTTCTAACAAAAAGGATTAGAACTATCAATGTTCGAAAAATTTTCATTGTATTTATCATAATTTTGGCAGTACACATAGACAATATATATGTTTTTAGCTTGGCTGATGATGATCAAAAATATATTGATCAAAACGTTTCAAACGGATATTGTGTGAAATTTTTTCACCTTTACTTTCTCAACACACGAACAATTGTGATTTAGCTTGCTAGATTTATTTTAATTTTAATTGTTATACACATATTCATTACACATGAAAATGTGTAAAACAGTTTAACAAATCGCGGTTTACTTTTCTTTCTACATCTATAATTTGATTAGTCATTTCTATGAAAAATAAATAAACTGTCTATTCTTCAATAAACCATATAAAGTTAGTTGTCATAAATTGCAACGATTATTACCTAAAAAGTTGTTTTAGTTGTTACTTTATAATAAAAATTGTTTTAGTTGTTATTTCATAATTTTTTGATATGAAAACAATTAAAAAAAGAAATTTTGTCATTACCAAAAATGGTGATTTGTCACTTTAAATGTAATGGTGTATTAATGTTGTAAAAAAATAAAAACAAACTTAGAACAAAGAGAGAGAGTGATGAGTTTTCTCTTGAACTCTTTCTACTTTTTTGGAATATCCAATAAGTTTTTTTGAAATTGTTCTACTTTTTTTGAATTTCCTAAATTTACATTTAAATTCTTATTACATGCTTATTACTGATAAACATATTGGAACATTATGTGATTTTTTACTTACATCAGAAATTGCGGTATATAAAAATGATAATTTTATTGCATCAAACGATCTATTATACTTAATTGAAGGCAAATTAACTGTTTCTGAATTGGAAGTTCTATGTTATAGAGAGGATCTATCCTGAAATTCTAACCAAAGATACTAAATTCTGATTTTAATGTTCAATAAAACGTGATGAATGTTACAAAATAGGAAGTTCACTCTGTTGGATGAATGTGCATACTAATTAAGGTCAGTACTCAGCAAAAGAGATCTTTTTCTCTTCGTATTTGCATATTGCATGCAAATGTCAGAATAAATGTCAGATGAGAACATTAAAGATTAATCAGGAAAGATTACAAGCATTAATTCTTGTTAATTTTTGAATTAAAACGATTAAGTAAGTATATATTTGTCGAATTTTTTTCCGCTATATAATAAAACGTATTTTTATTTGCTATATTATTTAAAACAAAACAGTATCATTAAACAGAGACAATGAGTAATCAAGCACCGTACATAGTGCAATCCGATATTGATTAGATTAAGTAAATGGACTGTTTTCTTGCATCAAATTCTGACGTCACGTTGTGGAGCAAACGCGAGCTCGCACTGACAGAAAGTACCTAACGGAAATTGCTACGTGCGTTCCGCTTCGAGTGTGATTATATTAATCCAATTTTGCACTTAAACTGACTTCAAACTTATATCACACTTTCGTTTCTCAAAAATTAGATCGGCGAAGATAAAACGGAGATTCTTGCATTCAACGCACATTTCAAACAATTCTCTCTTCGATATAATACATTGAAAACATATATGCAAGTATACATTTCAAGTATAATTCAAGATATTAGACCGTAAAAATTTACGTCTTTTTAATTTACTTGTCTAATTTATTTTTTAATTTACTTTTATATGTATTACATGTTATTTAAGTGAAATGATATTTAAGTATTCAATTCAACATTTTAGTCCTATTATATTCATGTGTATAACAATGTGTCAGATTTAATTCTCTAGAGTCACCTTTATTTATGCCGTTATTATTTTTGGTATAGAGAAATCTGTTTGATTTCGAGAGAATTTTCATTTAATCGAAGAATCACATCTCGACTTACAACTTATTTGTGTACGTTGCATTTATTCTTCGATACCTCCTCTGTAATAATTTCGAAAATACCACTGGGTAATTTAAAAAAGCATTCTGGGGAAGTGTCTCGTGTGCACAAATCGATAACTATTAGTCAGGATCAGGTATAATCGATGTCGCCGATGATCTCATTTTCCAAGCGTATAATTTCGTTTTTGTCGCACATCTTGTCCCGTATATCAACGTCATTCTTCTTTCGCGACATTTAAATTGTAGAGGTATAAGATAGGTGTATAAGAGAGAGTCGTGCGTCGCCACGCAGCAACAGCGAACTCTGCGAAAAAAACGTCAATATAAGAGCAGCGCCGTTTCTCATAAAAAAAAAAAAAAAAAAAAAAAAAAAACAAGCAAGTGAAATATGCGGTAAAAAATATGACGTGCTACATGGAAAAACGCGGAAATGTCTAACGTCTGAATGTTATATTTTACACGCGATGTCTCTATCTTTGCAACGCAATCGACCGCAATGAATTTTTCAGACGTTTTCTGGGGCCATCAGAAGAAAGTCAGTTTATATCTCCCTCGCTCGTTTCAAGAAAATTACGTTCCGCTCATTTTGTTAAATATGTGACACAACGTGTAACGTATGTCATATAAGGTGCAAGTATGTTGAAACAACCTCAGCTTAAGCGTCATCGTAATCGAGAAGATGAACTTTTAACTGTAGACAAAGTAGCATCAGCAAGATACTAACTCTCTATGTGACAGGTTGAAGATAGTTTAGAATAATTGAAACTGAGAGAGAAAGAGAGAGAGAGAAAAGAGAGAAAAAAATTGAAGGAAATCTGCAAATTTCACTCAAAATTATCTTAGCTATTTTATGTTATTTATTTGTAAATATATAGAAAATTTAATTATATTCTGTTATTAATTAATTAATAATTAATTCAAATGTAATATTTTTATTGAATATAAGTGCATATATTATATATAAATTGCATTGTAAGTTTTTATTTTAAATCTATATTTTTGATATCGCGAGCTTTTGAATTTTTAGAATTTGCTCTCCAAATATATGGCATTGTTATTATTATGATTATTTATTTCAAAATTAAATTGAGATATAATTTTCCAGCGAGATTATCTTTATTCAATTAATTTTAATTAATGAAATACATTTACAAAATTTACTGAGGAATCATTTTGGATTAAAACAAAACGCGATTGTCGTCATAACAATGCATGTACACCACGTGTACTGGTAAGCGCTATCTTTCGAATTATGTGTGCGACTAGCGTGACGGATATCTACTTGGCTACACTCGCTGCAAATGCGAGAGCAGCGAGTGATAGCCGCGATTTAATTAAAACGTGCTGCGTTGCTGCATACACGCAGACGGTATTCGCGAGCAATTTTTGTATAAAATTATTTCGTGTAAAATACAAAACTTAAACAAGTATAAAGTTTTGTTAATAAGGCACATAGGCAATGATTGGTTAGAAAATATTATAATTCTGAAGATAGAATATTGCGCACATTTTTATTAATGTTGTTACTTGCATCTTCTTCCTGTTTCTAGTTTTTTTTTGTAAATAATATATTTGTACACGACATTATCTAATTTTTAGTTACTAAAAATATAACAATTTAAAGTTGACATAATAGTTGTAATTATTCTAATTAACGTTTATATTGCGTTTCAGACAGTATCAGTGAGCGTTAGCGTTTTGACATTGACATTTATATCGCTCGACCGGTGGTACGCTATATGTTTTCCGTTTCATCAACGATTCAAATCTACGACAAACCGAGCAAAGTTTGCTATTATAATGATCTGGGTCTTTTCGCTGATTTTTGGTAATTATCATTTCTAATAAGTAACTTATTATATACGTATGTATTGTTTTATTTATATTATTTATACTTTTAATAATATAGGGAAAAAGTTAAGACTGCATTACACCATATTTTAGAACACATTGTACAAAACAAAAGAAAGAAAGAGAGTGAAAGAGCAAACATAATTTTATTGAAGGAAATTTATATACATATATATATATATATATTACATTTTACTTTAGAATTGTTGCTATTTTCAATATTATATTATTTTATAAATATCGCAATGTTTTATATGAAAATCTTCTTTGCTGTATTCTTAATATTTTCATATTCTTTTTTTATAAAATGCTAACAAGTAAATTTTTGCAAAATTTTTACAAGAGAGTGAAGAAAACAAAATTACATTTTTATCAATATTGCTTTTATGTTGCTTGGTCAGATTTCCCGGAATTGTTGGTGTTGCACACGGTACCGTCACAAAGCCGAGTTCAGACTGTATTATTCACTCAGTGTGTCTGGTCATGGAGTCAAGAAAGTCAAACCACATTCACGATTGTCAAGCTGATGCTTCTGTATATCCTGCCTTTGCTCTTTATGAGCGTAGCATATTGGCGGATCGTGCGGGTTCTTTGGAAGAGTAATATTCCAGGACACAATCGTAAGCAAGAAAAAACACAGTTTAAGCACGCAATAACCAATTATTGTATGGTTTGTGTCTTATGTCTGTAAAAATTGAAATGTATAGTAGTATTGAAGAACTTAATATTATTTTTTTGTGTACACCAAGTTTTTACTAGTTCATTCATTATCACAGTTCAGTAAAAACATTAAAACTAAAATATTACATGCATGTACAGAGGAGTGCACGCGTCAGAGGAAGTATTTCTTAGAAGTAGAGTAAAGAAATTGGAAAACTAACACGAGACAAAACACTGGATTTTTGTGTAATGGAATACTTTATTTAGAACGTCAGACGTTTTGATCCTTGTGTTGGATCTTCTTCAGTTACAAACTACATATCAATGAATATAAACTATTAATTTTAGTTTGCTCATTATAATTTAAATAATCAGAATACAGCCTCATTCGTTTATTATAATAAAAAAAGATGTGAACATTCACCCGATTAAAAATGCAGGAAGTACATCAGGCCCGTTTAAAGTAAAAAATCAAAAACTAACATAATCGTTGGCTATAAAAAATAAATAAATAAATAAACAATATTTCTTAGAAATTTCTTCTTTGAAAGCTGCCCTACTACCGCGCGCCGTTTTTCTTTGGTTTCTGCCGAAGGAGAATGACCTACTTTACACCGTACATCTTTTTGGTACGCGAATTAAATAAAATTTGTTTTTCAATGTACAATTTTAGTGTTTACATCATTATAAATGTGCTTGATGACGCGTACCATTTTGATACGATACACGTGAAGAAGGAGTATCGTAATAGCTTAATATGACATTGTTTATATTATTGAGATCAACCCGATTTAATACGAATATAGTACTTAATACGCGTATTAAGCGATCAGTGTAAACTAGGCCAATAGCGCACGGAAGTAGGAGCAGCCGGAGAAGAAATTTTCGAGGAATACTTCTCCAAATGCGGCACGATATGATGCACTCTTCTGTACACACGCCTATACATATACCACACGTATCGTTACGTAAATAGGGCGATTCCAATAATTCCGCTTGATTATCTGCGATGATAAAATCGATTCTAATTGAAATCAAAACTATCACAATATGCAGATTATACGAATATAAGCCGCTTATAACTTGAAAATGCAGTGTAAGTCTCTCGTTTTGAAATATATTATAATTAATAATCTCTGCAACCACTGTTCTCTTTATCGAGATTAAATAGGAATATAGTCGAATAAGTGTCAAATATTCATGTGTACAAATATTCGATTCTTTTATGAAACACAAAACCAGAGTAAACAAAATACTTTAAAAAAGAATTCAATCAGAATATTTTGCATATAAAGTAAGTGAAATTACATGTAAAGTTAGATTTTCATTATTAGCAGTATCGACTAGAATCTCCCATTCGACTGAAATGCCTTTATCCGGAGGTGGAAACCCAGAAGGTCAATTAAGATCTCGACGAAAAGCGGCGAAGATGTTGGTCGCCGTAGTTGTGACGTTTGCCATATGCTTCTTTCCAGTTCATTTACTCTCTATTTTAAGGTAAATATAGTTATATGATGTTATATATTGCGAAGAATGATACAATTCCATGTTGAAATGTTAAATTAATTATCTCATGTGCACATAATCGTGCATAAAAATATAACACGTAACATGTAGTACATACGTAGAAATTTGGAATATTTTTTATTTTTCAAAACGTACGTGTATCTTAGAAACTGTTTCCAATACGATATCAACCCGGTAAAACATTTTCCACATATATACAATTGTATGGACATATTCGACATATAAATTTTCATATTGTAATTAGATGTAATAATTTTAAATAATAATAAAATTTTGTGTATAAGTATATATGATTATATATCAAAACAATTTTTTTAAATATAGTAACAATATAGAGTTTTACATAATTTTTTTGTATCTAACATGAGACTAATAGAGTTATTTTGTAATTTGATATGAAATATCTCTAAAGCCATTCTCTTAAAACAAGAAATTCTCTGTGTATAAAATTGTATAGACATATTCGGCATATAAATTTGCATAATTAGATATAATAATTTTAATTTGTGTATAAGTTTATATGAAAAATTTTTTACCTGGAATTATTTTGTCGCGTACAACTACACTTTGTATTTCGTTTATTAAAGATATTCTGCACAACATAATTCAGATTTAACAAACTGCTAGTTTAAAAATGTTTCGTTATTAATTTAGAATTATTTAGTAAAAAAATGAATGTCACTTATTGTAAGTAATAATTTGTTCCTAATTTTTCGATCTACATTTTTATGATCAATATAACCATAAGTTTTATATCTTATATAAAATTTTTGTAAACATACCTTATGTATTTTATTTTATCATTTAAATAACAAATAAGAACTTGCACAATTTTAACAAATCGCTTATATGTATATAAATGTGTGTGTAATATTATGTTGTGAATATAATAACGGGAATTGACATTTCAGATGTACCATGGATTTACCAGCTGATCAATGGACAATCGCTGTTAGTTTAATCGCTCATTGGCTCTGTTACTTCAACAGCGCGGTAAATCCTCTTATCTACAATTTCATGAGCGGTAAGAATTTATATGTATATATATATCAACTTATGTACTCGACGCTTCTAATGTAAGATTCTTGAGGATGTTAAGTCTCATTGTCAAAAAAATAACTCTGATTTTTTTCATAAGATTTAATTCAAAGACTGCTACATGTGTAAGTAAATAGTATGCGCGGATGTATATACGTAATAATTTCTCGAGCATATAAAAAGTATGTAAAACAAGATATCGTGCCGAGAATGCATGTGTACGTACGGAGTGACTTCTATTAAAATGCATGACACGTCGCAGGCACACGGTGCTCGTTGTTTCGGCTGTTTATTCGCTGTGTAAAACTGGCCCACGTTCTTCACGCTGAATTAGCTCGTACGGCATAGACTGCCAAAATTTCATTTGATTTTTCTCGCTTTGTAAAAACTGTGACATTACGTATGTAAGTCAAACTTTAAATGAACTTACACGATATTTTATAATATACAGGGTATATAAAAAATACCGGTACCGCGAAAAATCTTGAAAACTAGCTTTTTACGAAAAAGTGTTTCAGATAAAAGTTGTAGGATATAAAGAATTTATTTTCTGATTATATCAGCGTGGCCTTGGATGGCGCCACCAAGGTCAGATCAAGATCACATCGATTTTTTAAATAGAACTCCTTAGTTTTTATTGTAGATTCTTATAGCTTAATTGAAGAGCTTTGCAAAACACTAAAGTTTATTTTCAGTATGTACTTTTTGAGTTATGAAGATTGAATATTAGAGTACCGCGTCGGTACTTTTTCTAGGAGGATCATTTCAATCAAAACGAATTTTATGAGCTCATGATGCAGAGAATTGACAAAGAACCTAACTTCCTATTCAACATAGTTTTTTTTAATAAAGCAACATTCGAAATGAATGATAACGTCAATAGATGATGCTAATACCGGTGATACTCTAATATTCAACTCCTTCACAAAGTCAAAAAGTATTTAATGAAAATAAACTTTATTAGTGTTTTGAATCTGCAATAAAAAATATGGTGTTCTATTTTTAAAAAAATTCAAGATGACCTTGTCCTGATCTTGGCGATGTCATTCAAGGTTAAACTGATAAGAGCAGTAAATAAATCCTTTAAAACCCTACAACTTTTATCTAAAACACTTTTTCGTAAAATGCCTAGTTTTCGAGATTTTTCACGGTACTTTTTACACACCCTGTATCTCAGAAGTAAAGGAAATTATATTTTGTTTTCTATAACTATCGATTTTTTAATGCAGTTGTGAGTAGCAAGAAAAACTAAAAAAGATGTATTTGTAAGTTCAAAACTTATATTTTTCTTTTAAAATTGTTTGTGCAATGTAATGCAACGCATATAAACCAAATATTTTCATAATATTGAACATTATGTTCTATGTTAACTTTTTATTTAGACAATATAAGTCTGCATTCGAAATTTTGAAGAAAATAAATTTCGTAGTTACTTCTATGGTTTGCAACGTATTTTTTACTAATTAATAATTTTGAAAACGTTCAATAAAAAGAGAGAGAGAGAGAGCCAGACATACAAGTGAAAAAGACTTTTCCTGCGGAAACAGATGTGACTTTAATGGGTTTTGAACGATAGTTTACGAATGTTAAGAATAACACGGAATTGGGACTCGCGGAATTAAATTTGAAACACAGAATAGCGCGCGCACATTATCGGCTTCGTTAAGCCAAGATATGTAAAATGATTCGGTTTCTCTGCTATTGCAGGTAAGTTCCGACAAGAATTCCGTCGTAATTTTCGAGAGTGCAGCTCGCCAAACAGGCGGATGATCGCATTGCCGACGGTCCATCGGCATCTCCGATTGCCGATCGGCAGCGGCGAAAGTACAAAGGAATGTCGCATCAACTTGCGAAATCAACCGTTTTGACACGTGGCAACCAAACAATCGCGGCATACGAAAATACATCTTGACGCACCTGTGCGAGCGAATATCGTGGCCGAGACGACGTTCGACGTCGGTTTCGGAACGGACTCGGATATCGGCATCCGTTAGAACGATTGTTGGGTGAGCTAGAACAGCTAGAATAAAATTATTGCGTGCTTTTTCTTTTCTTTTGATATGCTAAACGCCCAACTATAATTATAAAAGACGTCACGTTTAATATAATTATGAAGTTTTGAAATACTTTTCCGATACTACGATTTTAATAAAACTATGTTTTTATGACTATCGAGAATTGGAGAAGGAAAACCAACGACAATTGTTGATTATTATCGTATATACTCTCTCTCTCTCTCTCTCTCTCTCTCTCT